GACGGTCCAAGAATTTGATTTTGGCTGCTTCGGCTGCTTGAATCCTAAATTTGCCATTAACCCCACGTCCTCGCCCGCGATGGTGACCATTCATGCCCAACGCGTGTCGATCAATTGTGCCATGCAGGGTCCCCGCCAAAGTTAGAAATCTGTCAAAGACGAGGCGGCGTGTTTTTAGACGCGCTTCTGAGTGGTAACCGTGCTTCCGGATGTGGAGGCTCCGCGATGACGTGCACTCGAAGCGCTTCGGCACTTCGGGCGGATGATGTGACCGGGGTAGCCGGGGTGGCACCCGCTCGAGCTTGGAGCCTGTGGCCATCACGAGACCCTGCCTTTGATGCTCTGTCCCTACCATCCGATCCAGCAACCACCACCATCTCCGGCTTCGACATTCTCCTCTTACAATCTCACCCACAATGTCTCTTCCTGTAAGTGTTGAGAGGCCGCAGCTACCAAAGCTAATCGTACATATGAGGTTGGTCGTGATCCTGACATGGTTTCCTTGTCCCGACGCGGTCTCCATCCACCAGATTCGATACTCTCTTCCTCAGCGTCCTGCCGTCGTGAGCGCGGTGGCCATCGCTGCCTGGTATTTTGGACGCGAGAACCCCAACTTTGCCAACATCTTTGGCGGCACGGCCAACCTGGACAAGTGGGCGCACCTCATCGCCCGCATCCACGTCGCCGAAGCCGGTGCCATGTTCCTGTACACGTTCTACCGCGGCGCCGACCTGGTGACCTCGGTCAAGTGGACGCTCACTCAGCTCGTCATCGGCTTCCCTTCCTACTTCCACTTCAAGAAGATCAACAACTAGTCGCCAGCAGACGCCTTGTATGTCGTACAGCTGTTCGTCATCCGCAGCATCTTGCGGGCACATGCCAGTGGCTCTGGGGAGCCTGCAAAAAATACTCCCCATCCATCCACTCCCCGTCTGCAACATGAGAGGTTGATCACATGCCATTAAATTTCCATACCAGATTTTGCCGTTCCCAATTTAGGAATCTCTTTTTCCAAATTTCTGTCAGTTCACGCCCTCAGCGATTCGACCCGCACTTTGAGTGCGGGGTCAGACTTGGCCTGCGCCGGGTGGAAAGTTGAGCGACGCAGTGCGAAATGCGACTCTGTCCAGCCAACGTGGTCGCCGTTGCGCCTCCGGCTTTGAGCGCCAGCTCGTATCGAGCTGGAGACCGCCATATTTCACAGGCCTGAGACGTAAAGATGAGCAGAACGATTGGCATTGAATGATGACACCTACAAAAGACCCCAAACAACCTGATAGAAGCAGAAGCAAATTAGAGGAAGGCTGGCGAGGATCGCGAGGCCGTGGAAAGAAGCTAGACTTTGAGAACATTGACCGTCTGGCCGATGCTGTGGGCACCGCTCGAAGCAACGGCAAGGTAGTAACAGAATCCAGGCGTGACGTCGCCAGTGTCGCTGGGAAGGCGAAGTGTGACAGTGTTGCCCGAAGTCAAATGCACTGTTCGAGTGATACGGCGTTGATCAGTGTTGACCGAGTGCGTCGACGATCCCATTCGGATCAACACGTGGCCGAGACCCGAAGCGCTGTTGAGCGTCACAGTGAGCGTGTCGCCCGGGTAAACACGGATCTGATCACCGTTCTGCTGGCTCGACGCCAGCTTGGTGATCTGAGAGCGAGCAGCAGCATTGCCGCTGGCGTCAAACAGGTACGAAGGACTGTAGAACTGCATGTCCGGATGGTTAGTGCCTTGGCAGTTGCCACCCACGTAGCACAAGCCGCCACCCCCGCTCATCACGCGTCCGTCGGGCATCAGAAGCAAAGTCGAGTGATAGTTGTGTGGCACCGCAATCAGCGCAACCAGAGTGTAGGCATTGCTGTGGTGGCAGGATCCCAGATTTCTGCCCGCATGACGCTGTCCGTGTCTTGGAAGCCCTTACCATACGTCTAATCGCCAACGATGAACACCTGGCCGTTGCGCAGAACCACCGCATTGGCGTACATCCGTCTGGACGGCTGGCGCGGTGTTGACGCCCTTGATCGTGATCTTGTGCGTAGCCGTAAGCCCATCGCTGTCACTGTAGCTCTGCGAGCCACCGGCGGAGAAGATGACACCGTTGTCATACATGACGGTCACACCGCACATCTGGTCATTGATAGCGTTGCGCGTACCGGCGCCTCGCGCGCCGCCTTGCCCCGAGTTGCTGTACCATTTCAGCTGCTTCCTCGGTCCGGGCTGCAGCACAGAGCCGCCCGTCCAGGAATACAGTCAAGCATGGTTGTCGGTACGCCAGGGACCTCCATTGTCGTAGCTCGTGAGCATGTTGCTGACTTTGGCACTGGGAAGCGCAGACCAGATGTTGGAAGCGGGATCGTAGACCTCGCCGTCTTTGAGGGGGACTTCCGTGCCTCCGATACCTCCAGTGAAGGAGCCTCCGATCGTGAATTCCCTTCCGTCGGAAAGCGTCACCGAGCTCTGCTAGCCACGGCCCCTGTTCAAGTTACCAGAACTGGTAAAGGTGTTGGCAAAGGGGGCATACATGGTGGTGGCCCGGTCGGTGTTTCCTCCGTTGATGTTCAGGCGACCGTCAGCCAGGGCGTTGAGACCCGGGCAGAATTGGTCGTGCTGGGTACTGGCAACGACAAATTCGGTCTGCGTGTTGGCATTGAGGTCCCAGCTCATGTACGCGGTCTGGTGCTGCGCGGCACCGCCAAAGGTGTAGCCACTCCAGGAGGCGAAGGCGAAGAACTTGCTGACCACGGATTAAAGGCGGAAGAGGTCGAGCGAGATGACCTTGCTCCACAAGCCGTCCTTGGCTACGGTGTTCGGAGCAGAGTAGGAAGCACCAGTCATGAAGAAAGAGTCGTATGCACCGTTCTGCTGCCAGGTAGGCTGGCAAGGAGCACCTGTCGAGTCCGTAGCATGAAATCTCCGCAGCAATCGCCCTACCTCAACCTGCTCTTGTCGCTTTGCCCCCGGCTGGAAGGAGGGGTGTAAGGAAGTGCAGTGCAGAATCGCAATCGCCCCGTGGCGGATCGCTTTCAGCTCGATAAGCTCATATGAGACCTCGCATCTTCGCTTCCACGCAGGTCGACACAATGAAAGCAGACGAATGTTCCCATGACTAGCGGCAGAACGGATGTCAGTTCTACATCTGGAGTCGTTGACGAATACACGACTCATCAGTAGCCTAGGCATCGCGTGTAGAGAGCGAAGCACCAAAATGCCCGGAATCGTGCTTGTCCTGCAAGGAAGCGTTGGACTCTACGTCTTGGTCCTTAGTCGCGACGTGAAATGCCTGCACGTCAGCCGATTGGCCGTTGAGCGTACTTTCGGCCCTCTCGGCTACGATTCGTTTGAATTCGCGGTCCTTGCGGAAGGCGGTACCCTTGATGTTGAAGAGGATGTCCATGTCTTCGAGTTGCACACCCTTGGTCTCTGGCATGAGGAAGAGCGTAAAGAAGAAGGAGAAGATGGTCCAGGCCGCAAAGAAGATGAAGACGTAGCCTTTGATGCTGACGACCATGTAGGGGAGCGAGTAGACGATGATGAACTGCGCCAACCACTGCATGCAGGTGGTCATTGTCATGCAGAGCATGCGGATCCTTGCGGGGAAAACTTCTGCGCAGAACATGAACGGAATTCCGTTCCACGACATGGCGTACCAGAACGTGTACCAGTAGACGGCGGCAAGGGCCATGGAGGAGCCTGCATCGCGCGGAGGCGTCTTGGAGAAGCTGTGGGAGACGTTTGTGTAGATGCCGAGATAGAGCATGCCCGATGCGGCGCCGAGAGATCCGATGAGCAGCGCCTTTCTGCGTCCGAGCGTATCTACGAAGAAGGACATGAAGATGAGCGTGACAAAGGCCTTTTCCAGTCCGTACACGCCTGTGGCTAGGAGCGAGACCGACGTGCCCTTGAAACCGACATTGCGGATCAGCGTGGCGCTGTAGTAGTTCAAAGCGTTGATGCCGGAAAAGTTCTGAAGGAGCATGACGGCGAATCCGAGCAAGAGTCTCGAGCGGTTGTTGGCGCCGAACGCCTCGCCAAGTTTGCTGGCGAACGAGTCCTTGCGACCTGTGCTGTGCTCGGACTGGATCTGGTCCTTGATCTGCTGAATCTCAAACTGGATGTATGGATGATCTTGGGGCAGATTGCGAAGGTAGCAGAGGTTGCGGATGCCCTCCTCTTCTCGACCCTTGTTGATGAGCCAGCGTGGAGCTTCGGGCTGGAAGAACATGAGCACGGCGAGCAGGGTGCCTGGGAGAATTTGGAATGCGACGGGGATCCTCCACTGAGTGTTGGAGTGGGGGCTGACGTGCTTGTTGACGCCATAGTTGATCCAGAAGCCAGTGACTTGGAAGGCCTGATAGACGCACTCGAGGAGGCCGACCATTTTTCCTCGGATGGCAGGAGGCGAGTTGAGCGATACGTATGCGGGGCCAAGCAGGTAGGCGTTGCCGATGGCGAGGCCGGTGAGCGCCCTGCCGGCATAGATCATGGCGAGCTGACCGGTGCTGACGGTCTGCAGGATGGAACCGAGCACAAAGAGGAAGGATGCGAGGAAGAAGCAGTAGCGCATGCCGACGCGCTCTACGAGCGGATAAGTGGAGAGGGATCCAAAGAAGCAGCCTGCCTGGAAAGTGGAGACGATGTGGCTCGAGAGGGCTGCGAGCTTCAAGGCGCCGAGCGAGTCGGAGAGACCAAAGGTTTGCTTGAAAGATGGCAAAGAGAGGGTGCCGCCCAAGAAGCTCGAGTCGTACCCGAACATGCCTGCGCTCATGGATGCCGAGAGCATCATAATCCAGATCCTCTTGTTGTAGACCTCGGGAGGAGCCGGATACGGCGAGGTGTCGTGTTGCTTGAAGAAATTTCGCATGGTGACCGAGGTAGTAACTTTTGTCACGATGCAAGTGGCCTTGGGGAGAGGCAGAGGAGCGACGCACACAGCGAGGTGATCTCGTGCTGCTGAATGGTCCGGTGAGCTTTCTTTCAAGAAGGGCAGGGATGCAAGACAACAGCGTCTGAGACCTGCTGGATTTATACCGCGAGAGGGGGCGGCACGGCGAGTGTTCTCGTGGCAAGGGAGGTTGGCAGCTTAGGTGCCCGAAGTGGTCTGCATGTGCATCGAAGGGTGAGTGTGTCCTGTACGGCTGTACCGTCGGACAACATGTGAGCACAGTTGGCTAGATGGAGTAGTGTCGTTGACCGATGCCTCCGAGCATTGCGGGGTATTGACAGGCACGAGCAACGCGGGGTCAGTCGTGGGGTCCAACGTGACTCCAAACGTGGGCTTTCGGCGTGGGGTTTGGCGTGGCTGTCGCTGTTTAGCCGCTCGCCGCGCTGCTTTCCCGCTCCGTCGGCCAACTGGTCCGGTTCGGAAGGAACCGAATTCCCCACGCCGCAAAGCATCGGAAGGGGCCGAACACGACGCCGAGAATCGGTTCGAACCGATGGCACCCCTTCGGTCTGTGCCGATTCTACCGGGCCGAGCAATTCGCCGTTGATGCCCCCACCTGCCACTCCCTCGTTCAGTCGACGCTCTCTCCCACATTTACAGGGTCCACGGACTGCGCTCTGCCATCACGGCCACTGTGCCACATGACATCCTGTGCCGGCGCGCTCCTAGTCGGCTCGGACCGATGCTCACCTAGCCACAGTCCTGTCGCCCAGCCTCGTCCACACGCGGCCCACTCACACAATCATATCCTTTATAATCACTTCAGATGTTTGCGGATCTCGTCTGCTGTCCGACTCTCAATCATCACCATTGACAGAATCGACAAGTGCAACTCAGCTCGCCGCACTTCCACAATCATGGTCGCTTTGGAAGTTCTTTCAAGCGTCGAGGCGCTGCCCGAAACCAAGACGCTCAAAAGGGGGATCTACGTTCCCGTCCTTACCTTCTTCAAGGGCGAGCATGGAGCCGTCCTCGACCTCGAGGCTTTCGAGAAGCACATAGTCTACGTCGCCACCAGCGGCGTTGCAGGCATCGTAGTTCTCGGATCCACCGGCGAGGCGGTCTCGCTTACCGACGACGAAAAGGTCACAGTGAGTCTCTTCGCCGCAAGATCCACACCAACATCATCTTGATACTGAATCTCGTCTGCTGCTTCTCGCTTTACCGCTCTCCAACAGCTTGTCCGCTCGACGAGGAAAGCTATGAATGCCTGTGGATGCTCCGACATGCCTCTCATCGCCGGCGCAGGTGGCCACTCGATCGTCACTGCCCGCGAAAGCCTCGCGGCCATAACAAATGCAGGAGCCTCCCACGCTTTGGTACTTCCTTCTTCCTACTACCCCAACCAGCTCGGCGCTCCGGCAGCGCTCGAATTCTACACTGCCATCGCCGATTCATCCCCCATTCCCATCCTCATCTACTCCTATCCCGGTGTCTGCTCCGGCATCAACCTGAGCTCCGATGTCACCCGCAAGCTTTCGCAACATCCCCGCATCCGCGGTGTCAAGCATACCGATCACGACATCGGCAAGATGGCCAGGAACTGCGCCTTGCCTGCAGCTGCCGACGATGGCGCTCACTTTCTTGTCCTCGGCGGCGCGAGCGACTACTTGGTCGGTGCCCTGGCGGTAGGCGCACACGGCACCATCACTGGCATGGGAAATATCGCACCCAGAGCCGTCGTCGAGCTCCAACACCTCTTCGATCAAGGCCGTCGTCGAGAAGCTACCGAGCTTCAGCACATCATCTCGCTCGCAGAGTGGGAGCTCGGTAAAGGTGGCGTACCCATGCACAAGGCACTTGTGGAGTCTTTCCACGGATATGGCGGCCTTCCGCGCGCACCTTTGCAGCCATCGCCCAAGGAAACTATTCAGCACGCAGTCGATGCCTTCCATCGTCTCATGCAAGTCGAGGCGGAGCTCGCAAAATCATCGTAGCTCTCTTCCTCACTGCACTCTCGCGCGTCGTTTTGCAGCCACGCGCCCCGACCCCCTCCCCCAACATCAAGGACCGTCACAAGCAATCGAAAGCTTCTCTTCTGACAACAGTCCCGGCTAGCATGCATGCGTGATGCAATGTGTGTTGTCCTGCAGTTCAGGAATCGGACGCAACCAGATCCATGTTGAGGTCAAACGCTCCCGGAGCAAGCAGGTCGGCGTTCTCGCCAAACAAAAGTCGCAGGGGGTCGTCGGCGTCAAACCAGAGGTCCAAGTCGTCCGCCTCGGGCCAACGGACCTCCAAAAGGTCCTGCAGACTGCTTGCCGCCGGACTGATGTAAGTGTCCATGTGTTGGCTCGATGTCTCGCTTGCCGCTGCCCAGCTGGGCCCGCCGTTGCTGATGAGATCATTGACCACCCCTGAATCGGCACCTCGCGCGCAAGGTCGCGCATTCCTTCTCGGTCGCTTCGCAGGCTTTGTCGCTTCGAAGTCAGTCGTCGCAGCTTTCCGATGCCGGAAGTCGCTCCGTTGAGGGATGGCCAAATGAGCCTTCTTGGCGGCGTCAACCACCTTGGCCGACAGATACCGAGCCAACGACACGCCTTGCGATGCTAGTCTATCCAAGGAGGCCAGGGCAGAAGCAACAAGTTCCGTTTCCCGCTTCTCTCCTCCTGTTTGCCTTCCGGTGCCACGCTCACCTTTAGCGGCTTTACGTCTTCGCGATTTGTCGGGACTGGTTCCGCCCTCGATGGTTCCGCCCTCGAGAAGTCCAATTCGCGCCGAACACGCTTGTGCCAACGCCATCACCAGATAGTCGGGCACGTAGGTCAGCATTCCCTCTTCATCTTGCGCATGCAGCCGGACAATGGCTTCAGAAGATCGCAAAATAGCTTGATGGTAGATGGAGCGAAATCGCGAAGCTTTCGAGCCTGTCTCCCGCCCGCTGGCAATGTCTTGAGCCCGTGATCTTGCGATAGAGGTGCGATCCGCTATGTCATTGAGGCGCAAGGCGAAACTCGGCAGGCACAGTCGTACATGCCATCGATACAGAGCAGCACTGGCGTTGGCGACCGGCGATTGTAGGCCCTCGTCCCACTGTGCTTCGCATGTCTGAAGGCTTTGGCTGAGTTCCTGGTACCGCGTCCATATCGAGTCTACATCGATCCATGAACGATCGTCCGTCTGATGCGTCTTGTTGAGCTGGGAAGAGGCGTCCGCAACCCAATCCAGCAACCTCCGCGAGATCTGGGCAAGCTCGCCCTGCGCAGCCACGAAAGCGTCGGGTCCGATGTCGATGCCTTTGAAAAGGTGGTCGTGTTTTAGAGTCGCAATGATGTGCGCGCAAAGATCCAGGTTCTCCTTGGGCGAGAACGGCCTGCCAAAACCGAGGGAGGGGAAACAGTCGGAGGCGCACAGCAGCAGCCAGGTTCGCCGCGAGGAAAGGAACTCTTTTCCGAAACTGTGCGAAGAAGTAACAGTCTTCTCGACGCCAAGACGCTTGGCCAGCCGAAAGGCATGGCCGGAGAGGATCCACGGGTCCGAGCCTTGACCGATGGGACGTAAGCCCCAGGCATGGAGATACAGAACTGCCTGAACATCGCTCAGACGGAAGCGAGATCGCAGCAGCGTCTGGCCTAGCAGATTTTCCGTCATCTGCGTGAGATTTTCCGACAATCCGGGGGTGGCGCCTGCCTCAGCGAGGGGGCATGTGCGCAAAGCGTCGAACCTCAGACCTATCGCAAGGATGACCGTGAGTAGGAAGGGAGATTCTTCTCGCATCCGAGCAATGTTGTTGCTAGCCCCGGCGTCCAGGACGGGAAGGAAAGGATGGCAGCGCTCCAGAAACCAGTCGAGAAGCCATTCTGCAAGATCGTTGCTGATCAAGCCTCTCGATATCGGGTCCGTTGACCGTAGATCCGTTGCCAGATGTGTCGATGCGGGAGCCTCCTCCGACACGCGCTGAACACGAGCAAGCTCGATTCGCACGGTGTCGAGACCTGAACGATCGCCATTGCCCAAGTCGGCGGTCTGTCGTGGATCGTTGCCGTCCTCCGTTTCGCTTCGGTATGGTTGTACAGGTTCAGAACTCGAGCTGCGCGATGGCAGGTTGGACTCGTCGACGCCCTTCTCCATCATGTCGGTAAACGGCGCTCTGACGCTCTCGTGCATGGCTGCGGACCGCAAAGGTGGCTGATCATGATCCCTGTCAGCTGAGAGCGGATCCGCATTGAACGAAATGCCCACTCTCGCTTCGACCGCTTCCAAACGACTGACGACATCCTTCAGATTTGCTTGCAGCCGCCGCACCAAGCGTGGATCGTTGGGCAATTCCCGGCTGTTCGACTCTGGAATTGGTAAGATCTGACGGTGGGCGGGCTTTGTCTGACCTGTTGCCGAGCTTAGTCGGAGGAGGGTATGTGCATGCTCATCGCGTGAGGAGAGACGCCGCGTGCGTTCGAGAGGATCGGCGCACGGTACGTTAGCACGGATGCAGCGAGAGCATGGGATGAGGCCATCACACCGCAGCTTCTGCAATCTACACCGAGTGCATGCCACGCGCGCACGGTGCGGCTTCTTGCGGCTGCCGTCTTCCCGGACCAACGAGGCACTGTTACTCGGACTGTCCATCGTAGCGCACGCTACTGATCATTGCAGAGAGATTCGCAGCGATGTAGGCTCCGCGACTCGTGATGGAATGATGGTGTTGCTTCACGCGGCCGGGGCGCGGTCGGTTGAGCTTGCCGTTGCGAGCTCCGTCTCAGGGTCCGCGCGGCTTTCCCCCGCATTTTCATCCGCTTTCCGCTTTCCGCCGCAGCCTCAACTCCGAATCGTTGCGAAATTCGTCGCGAAATTTGACAGGATTGGGAACTCGAGCTTCAACGGCGCAATTACATGCGAAAATGAGGCCCAAAATTTGACGGGATAGAAAATGTTGAAAGATGAAACTTTAGACTTAGGGGGTATCTTAGGGGGTTTACAAGGTGATCTGGTCAGAGCAAGAAAGTGACCATCGGATCTGTTGTCATAGGCTTGTAGA